TCTGCACTTTGCAGACCTGTGGAAAGGGGGAGAAAAGGTAAGTCCCGCTTACCCCGTTCATTTGGAGCATTCAGCACATAACATACATCTTACATTTGCGCCTTTACAGAGTAGAGCCTGCCTTTGCGTTTTGCTCGAGGAGGGGCGGAAGGTGACGCGCCGTAAGGAGCCCCGCTGCCCCGTGACGGGGGCGGTGGTGGGACGAGAGGGCTTTCAGCCCCGAGCGAAATGGGACGTTATCTTCTCGTGAAGCATGGCAAAAACCCGCGTGCGCGCTGTCCGTCCGCTCGGTCATTCCACCTCTGCACAGGCCATGCCCATAAACCATTAAACCCCACTGCCTCTCCCTCGCCCTCGAAATAACGTCGAGCCAGCCCAGCGCTAACAAGCTTCCGGCACGTTCAGAATCTTTTGTTTTGCTTCCTTGGCTTTTCTCTTTATTTCCTTCTTTTCGCTGAAACGCCTTGTGTGACTGTTTGTAGAACTAACAACCGGCGCATCAAATGACACGGGGAGTGTAGTTACATGGGAACGAAACACAGCTAATAAACCTTTTTGACGCAGATGAATGCAGCAGGTAACGAGATGCAAACGCGGGGAAATAGGGTCGGAGAGGACCGATCTGTCCCCACGCACCGAGGTGGGACGCGTCCGCTTTTGCGCTCCCTGAGAGGTGATGGGAACTCGAGTCCTCTTGGTTCTTGAGCTTCCCCGGAAGGTTGCGTCGCTCCTGGCATCTCACTTCCCCTTCTGCATGTGAAGCCTGTGGTAGAGGGAGCAGCCAGTTCTTTAATTTCTTGGAGATTTTTTGAAAGGTTACCGTGATTTGTGGCCTGAGAGTGGAAACGCTCCGTAAGGTCATGCTGTGCCGTGGCGACGTTTGGCTCCGTCGTGAGTGGCTGCTCCCCGTTCCTTTCTGCTTTCCTTTTTCCCCTCCGTCTTCCTCCAGAAGACGGGTAATTCAGATGAGCACTTCTCCGTGCTGTTGGTGGAAAACACTGTTTCAGAGCAGGCCGTAGCGTTGTGGTCGCAGGCGCTACAGAGCCGTTATTATCCGCTTACACTGGGTGACAAACAGGAGGCTGAGCACGAGCTCAAGTGCCTCTTTAACTTCCCGCTTTGTAGACGTGGAACTAAAACAAACCCGGATTTTTTCCATTAAAAGTTTGATCCATATATTATTTTATTAGACGTTCAAAGGAGGCTTCTGATCACTGCATTTAAAACCTAATCCAACGGTTCGAACCAAGTTTGTTGGCAGATACTAAAAGAACACAATCTTAAAGAAAGCCTTTGTTTTATTAATGCACTAAGAGATCTGGTCAGGTTTGAGGAGGCTGTGACGTGTGACACGCTGACGTGCAGGAGATGCGCAACCGTCGCTTTCGCCGGAGAAAACAGTCGCCTCCTCCAGGGCAATGGTTTCTTTTCGGTTTGCTCCGAGAGCCGAGATTTGGCTTTGCCTGGACCCGTCCCCAGGGCAGCGCCGAGCCTGCGTGGCCCTGTCCTCCCACCTCGCAGCCTGGAGAGGCCGGAGCTGCTCGAGAGACACGGGGCGGCCACGGGTTACATCTCGTTGGCTTTGCCCCCGTTCCTGGGCAAAACAAGCCCAGACGTTGTGGTTTTCAGGGCACGGCTCTGGTGACCAAGTTCCGCGGGTGCAGAGGTGTGTGATGAGGTTTAGCGCGCGGGGCTGAAACCAGGTGGATTTCTGTTGCGTTACTGTCTGGTTTTTCAGCCAGAGGGAAGTTCTTTCTTTCCGTGACTGTATGTTTGTGGCGTGGTTAGAACCACGGCAGCAAAACTGTGTGAAATTGCGGAAAAGCAGAGGTGGGTGTGTCAACACAGGGCTGCAAAGCAGACTTGGCTGCATCGTCCTGGTCCCAGAACTGCCTAGATTGGAAAGATCTTGAAGATCATCTAGTGCAACCATTAACCTAAGACTGGTGTCTCTCAGGGGCTCTGGGTGGGAGCGGCGAGGGGTTGTAGGGCTGGTCGACAGCTGGTTTAGGGAGGAGCCTGACACACCAAAGCATCACGGAGTCTCCCTGTTCTTGCTTCCTCATTCCACTGTTGATTTGTCGGTAGCGATCCACATGTGTCCTCGCGTTACAATTAGGGCTTGCACCCAAAAAAGGCTTTGAGCGATCTAACGGGTTATTCTGGCGCGTACCCTCAGGATCTGAGCTCGGGGCAGCACTGAGCCCTGCCCCAGGCATCGCCCCAGCACACCGCACACATCCTGCCCGAGATCCTTGTCTTTTGACACTCCCTTACTGTGCTGCTGCTGTCCCGTGACGAACGAGAACTCCAGCAGTCGGTCGCTTTTGTTGGCCTCGTGCATTTACGTCGTCAGAGTGAAACAGTTCAAATGGCAGCCACAAACTCCTTCTTTTCAGGAGGGTTTTGGTTTTTCATAGCGCAAAAACAGGTTTAGGGGCTGATACGTGACCTAAAAGGCAGCAGCTAAGAGCACCTGGCTCCTGCACTGAAGGAGGCTGTTGGAGTGGTTGAGATGGTTTTGCCTCTTGCTCGTTGAACTCCTTTGTTGAGCACAGAAATGTTTGCAAAGACCCATCTTTCCTGTGGAGGCTGCCCCATCAAGAGATTAATTATTTCTCTGGAAAGCAACAGGGTTTGATAATGGAGTTTTGTCGCTGTAAAATTATTTTACATTGAGGTCGGACATTTCTAACAAATGAGTTCAGAAATACAAAGGAGCGCAGGGCAAGAGTAACCTGCCGGCACCATTTGGTACCTTTAGTCCTTAATAGGAAGCTCCCAGCTGATGAAGGGGGAGTTTGGGGATGTCTTGTGCTCCACCATTTGTACAGCTCACAGAAAACTCCCCGAATTGTGGCAGTTTTTATGCCTGGTGTGATTGGGAGGAGCATCACGTAATGCAGGATTGCAGAGAGGCGCTCGATGCTGTTTCAAACAAAGTACCGCTTTCCCTTTCCTTCTGTAAAACTACAAAGAGTTTGACCCGCACCTGTTAGGATCAGTATTTCTCCATTGCAAGAGCTGCCCTGAAGCTCTGTTTGGTGTGTTTTATATAATTTCTGTCCTAAAATGGCTCCGTTTGAAGCAATCCCCAGTAAAACTTAACAGTTTGGGCAGAGCTGCTAATTTATCCTTATTGAAGTGCTTGGGACGCTACGTAAGGACTGGTGTGGTCCTTAAATACACCTTTGCTAGGATGTTTCTGGCAGTTTCTGGCTTTCAAGAGGCTGTTTTGGTCAGTCGGGTTGGGTTCTGCAGCGCTTAAGCAGCCTTCGGAGCATCGCCAATGCGAGTCCCGCGTCTGTGCTGGGAAAAGCTGGTGTCTTCACGTTCCCGCTGCCTGACCCGGCGCGTTGGGTCGGAGGGAGCCCTCGCAGGCGCAGGAGGAGTTGCCGACGGTCGGCATGGCCGTCAGCGGGCGTTGGCGTGCGCCTCGAAGCGTTTTGTCAAGGTGCGAGTGGAAAAGGGGATATAACAAGGAATGTTTTTGTCCTAGTTGTTGAATGTTGGACCGAGGAGATCTCAGCCAGGCCAGAGAAGAGAGCCCCGGAAGATCATCACCGTGTGCGTGAAGGAGGATGTGCACCTGAAGAAGGCGGAGAACGCCTGGAAGCCGAGCCTGAAGAGAGAAAGCCAGACCGAGGACCCGGAAAATGTCAAAACGCAGGTGAGAGCGTTGGTGAGCGCTTCGCAGAGGTACTGCCCCTGACGGGGGGAGGACGGTGATTTACCTTTGCCTTTGTGAAAGACAGGGGAAAGGGGCAACGAATTCCAGTTTAGTCACAGCTTTCCCCTACCGTGTTTTGGTTTTTTTTCATGTATTTATTCTTGACCTGGAGTTTAAATAGCAATCCTGTCTATTAAGCGAGTCTAAATAGGGAACACCAGACAACCTACTACCTCTCTTCCAGGATTATTTTTCTATTGCTGTTTTACTAGAATATTTCTGTCTCCATTTTAAAGCAAACAACCTCAGACCTCCAGCACAGAACTTGCTTTTCATCCCCTTTTAGACTCCATTTCTGCCCTGAACCTCAGCAAGACTGCGGTTCCGCTGAAAACTGTTCTCAATCCATCCTGCCCAGCCCCACAGCCCCAATGCTGAAGGTTTCTCTGTGCCTTTGTCCCCCTCCTTTCTGTGGGGCAGCCACTCTGGGCGGAGGTATTTGCCTGGTGGTCAAGCTTGTAATTTGTAGGATAAGTTGGGATAGTTTCAAAGGACACCGGCATTCTGTTCTCGGGGGCTGACGGCAGCGTCATTGACCTAATTATCATTCTGGGTAGGGTGAAAAAAAGGCACCTTAAAGTAAATACAGGAGAAGTTGGTTGCCTCTGGTCGAAGGAGAAGGAGGTTGCTCCCTGTGAATTGGTGTCAAGAAGAGCATTTCAGTCGGGTGACAACAGGGCTCTGTGCCTCTGTCGGGTTTGATAAAAGCACTCGAGTGTTTCCAGAAATCCTTCCCCACAGCCGTGGTCTGTGATAGCCAGTAGCTGAGCGAGGACTGGAGCTGGACCGAGCACCAACGTGTGTGTGCACAGATCTCCTGACCCAATTCCTAGATGTTCCCGCAGGATGTCTTCTCCGTTCGCCTTCAGGACACATCCTACCTTGTTCCTGAACGCCACCTGTTTGTGCGTAAACTTCATTTTTCTGTCGTTCAGGAGCTGTTCCGCAAGGTACGAAGCATCTTGAACAAGCTGACGCCGCAGATGTTCAATCAGCTGATGAAGCAGGTGACAGACCTGACGGTAGATACAGAAGAGAGGTTGAAAGGGGTCATCGACCTGGTCTTCGAGAAGGCTATCGATGAACCGAGCTTCTCGGTGGCGTACGCCAACATGTGCAGGTGTCTTGTGACGGTAAGAACCGCCAAAACCAAACGAGTGATTCCTCTGCGCAGGTGAATGTTGTGCACGTTACCCCCACAAACTGATTGGCAAGAGCAGAGTTAAATGTTATGTTTCTGAACAGAAATAAAAATAATTTACATGATGGGTTTCTTCTTCTCCGTTGGTTGGCCCTACCCGTGGGCAGAGGGCTTTGCTCGGAGGTGTGGACGCTTCGCTCTGCCCGGTCGCGAGACGCAATGAGTCCCGTTTGGAAAGTCCAGTTTCTCCCTCGTTGCGAAGGGAAGCCCGAGGTGCCGAGCCGAGCAGACAGCTGGTGTTCAGATGGTGAATTTGGGGCACAACAGCCTCTTTCTCACCCTGCTCCTTCATGCCACGCAGCAAAGGAGCACGGCTCCCAGCTCTTCAGCGCGTAACGAGAGTGTTTTCAAGCGGCGTGTCTTTTTAAAGGACCCTGTGAATGGAAATGTAATCTGTCTGCAGGCGGAGGCCAAGTGTTGAGCGTGACTTTACGTACGAAATGTAAAACTCAGCTGGAAATCGTGACGTGATGCTTAACTGTCACAGCCTTGCAGGCTTGCGGCGCTGGATGTGAAGGGCATAATAAAATGTAGTGGATGGCTTACAGAAAACCTCGCTCGTACATCCAGTTCAGCCGTATTCCTGCTCAGATTTTTCTTTCTTCCTTCTCCTGCAGCTGAAAGTGCCCATGGCAGACAAACCTGGGAGCACAGTGAATTTCCGCAAGTTGCTGTTAAATCGCTGCCAGAAGGAATTTGAAAAGGACAAGGCTGACGACGACGTCTTTGAAAAGAAGCAGAAAGAACTTGAAGCTGCTACCACTGTAAGTGGCATTTTTCCCCGTAAATTCTCGGAGCTCCCTCTGGAAGCGATCTCTTTTGAGGATGGCAGTGGATTGGGGGGGAGTTTCAGTCTGTCACTGTGGCTGAGCGTAATGAAAAAATATTGACCTTGATGAGCAGGTTTGTACCAGCTTCTTTTTGGTATTTAGGAGAAAAAGAGTAAACGGGGACAATGATAACTATTAACGTAAACCTGGATCTTCTGAAGAGTGCTGTGTTCTGTGAACGTGGGGATTTTTGGAGCTGTTTCTCTGTTTTACAGCCGGAGGAGAAGACGCGGCTCCATGATGAGCTGGAAGAAGCCAAGGACAAAGCCCGACGGAGATCCATCGGGAATATAAAATTCATTGGGGAGCTTTTCAAACTAAAAATGCTGACGGAGGCTATCATGCATGACTGCGTGGTAAAGCTGCTGAAAAACCACGATGAGGAGTCCCTCGAGTGCCTTTGCCGCCTGCTAACGACCATTGGCAAGGACCTGGACTTTGAGAAAGCCAAGGTAGGGCAGGACCGAGAGTGCGAGCCGAGGCTTTCAGGGCAGGCATGGAAGAAAAAATGGGTGTGGGGTGTTTTTATGAGAGGATTTGTTGGTTGTTTTTTTTCTTCAGGAATTTCTGTACGGCATGAGGGAATCATCCGCTCCTCTGTGGATGTTTCGTCATGGTCTGGCCTCGCTCCCTCCCCTCTGCCCTTTTCTAATAGAGCTGATGTAATTTTCAGGGATCTTCTCCACTTGTTAGTTGTTTCCAAATATTTCATCCAAGCGCACAGCCTGGAAACGCTCAGCATTTACTTTTTCCGAGTAGAATGCACCTCTTGTCTTGTACTTTCCAAAACATTTAGATTTCAAGTTGTTTCCTTACTGCTGAAGGCTTGTCTAACCTACAAAATCTACCACTGAACGTATTTTTAAATCTAAAAGCCTGAACCCCCACCAACCTGAGCCTTGGTGGATGCATTTCTTTTGTGTCCTCGTCGTCTCCAGTGATGCTGGAACATGGCAGCACTTTTGCAACTGCAGCGCTCCGGCACCCTCCTCGCGATTTTCCAACGAACGCGTACGCAGCACGGAGCACGACGTGCCCCAGGAGCTGCTCTGGGCACAGACGATCTGCGGCTCCGTCGCGAAAGCCAGGCTCGCGATGGAAACAAGCGGTCGAGGCTTTTGCCAGAAATCAGTCGGACTCGGCTCAGGAAACAAACGGAGCCAGTTGTTTTCAGCTGCTCGGGGAAGGGAGTTCCCTGGATTGCAGCGATCGTGGCGGAGCGATCCTGATCCTTACGGGGAAACAGTTTTTCAAACTCTTTTGTGGAGCGCTGACCCAAAACAGCCGCATTTCTCCCTAATCCTCCTGGCTGGGTACCCCGCGCCGGTACTGCCACGGCCTGAGCGTTACCGCTGCAGGTTGGAAAGTGCCGGAAGGTGGGGTTGGATTTCCCCACGTGCTTTGGGACGAAAACAGGGTCTGACTTGTAGGTGGTAGCTGAGGTCACGCTGGATGAGTCCCGGGTGCTGTTTGGGTCTTTGTGGGTGTGGAAGTGCCGTAAAAGGCAGCGTTGGGGCACACCGGACGCTTCTGCGACCTGGCGCCGTGGCACCGCGTAGCGCGGATGTCGCGTTACCCGTTGAGAGGAGCTGCCCGTGCCCTGTCTTTGTGATTTGTTATTTCTGCGTGAGAATCCTTGATGTGTTTTCTATTAATGGGGTAGACGTTTTATTACTTGTTTTTATTGAAGCTGAAGCGTTAGTGATAGGTATGATTAAAGCTTCTGGACAAAGTCCATTTCAAATATTTTCCCTGTCATTCCTAGCTTTGGAAACATTTGCTCTCAGAGCTGAAACTTTCCGAGGCAAGGCCAGAATCAAATTTTAATAGTTTTTTTGTGTTTGTTGATGGGTTTAGCTAGTTTTTAGTGAAGGGAGTGGAAAGCATTTTATAAAACTGCTTTGATTTTTTTTTTCTTGAAACAACTAGTGCCCCCATTTTGGGGGAAAAAAGCTTTTTGGAGCCTGATGAGTAAAATTTAGACCTAGTGGAGGCTCCTCTAATGATACTGTTTCATGTCTTGGTGCACACTGACTTTTTGGATGAAAAGGAGCTTGTGGGATTTTATATCATGACTAAACCTCTACAGCAGCGGCTTGCCGAGAGAAGCAGCGCTTGTGTCACCTGACCCCAGCTGAGACGGCTCAGGGAGGTAAAACATCAAAGTGATGTCGCGCAGGGTCAGTTTTAGGCACCTTTAGTTTCCTGGGTTGATGTGAGAAGTTGAAGCTCAGACGCAGAGCAGGACTCTGCTTTTCCGTGGCAGCTAGCCAGTAGCCACTCCGTGAGGAAAACCACATTGATTTTTCATTTTTTAAAAGATGGCAAGTTTTATCAAGTGCACGCAGAGGCTGTAGATTAATTAATTGAAAAAGGCAGAGAAAAGGTGCTAAATGAAGGAGGTTCCTGCAGTCCTGTGTCTCATTCCTTGCATATCCTGCGTCACACACGCTCAAATCCAACTCGGGGGGAGCGTACAAGACCCAACACTCTCTTCTCCGGGGAGCGGCTCGGGGTCCCCAGGTGTGTTTCTGGCGCAGAAACGCTGTAATGCAAAACCCACCGGCTCCCCACCTGAGGGAGTGTTTTTGTTTTCTTCCAAGAGGCGCTGGTGATGACAGTGATTTCTCTTGTGCAGCCTCGCATGGACCAGTATTTTAATCAGATGGAGAAGATCGTGAAAGAGAGGAAAACGTCTTCAAGGATTCGGTTCATGCTTCAGGATGTGATAGACCTAAGGCTGGTAGGTGCCAACTCAAGGGAGTAAAAGCGCGTGATCCCCTCGTGCCCAGGCTGCAAGAATCCTTACGGGAGAGCAGGGATTGACAGAGGTGGAATGTTAGAGGGAGAGCTGCGCCCCTTAGCCCAAAGAGAAATCTCCAGTTTGCCCTAACGAAGGCCAGGATTTATTAGATACACAAACCGCTCACGGTTCTGCTTAACACCAGACACGTGCCCACGCGTGCTTCTCGTGCCGCTCCTCCAGCCCCGGTGCAGCAGAAGTGCCTGAGCTCTTCTCACAGGGGCGGTTTTGGGTGTTTTTTACCCCACAGCATCCCCTGGGCCTGCCTTCATTTCCATGCCCCCTGGGTGTAACTGTTCCCTGCCAGCACTGGCTTGTGCCGATGGGACTGAAGAGCTCCGAGCTGCGCAGCACAGAGCGAGGGGCGCCGGATCGTGCGGCTGTAAAACCATGAGGGCCCTTTTTCCTGGCAGCGTGGAGCTGCTGGTCATGGCAAAAGCAAACGGAGCTTGTGCTCTGTCAGAACATGCCAACAGTGAGTCCTCACGAAGCTTCAGAAACGAATCACCTGGTGCGGGCAAGTGCAGGCAGAGCCCTGCCCGGGCTGTAACCACCCGCCCGGTTTGAGCGTAGCCACGATGTTAAAGCTGGAGCGTGGTGGGGGAAGGGCTGAAGGGTGTACCTCCACCCTGCGGCTGAAGGCGCGACTGCAGGTTGCGCAAACCTTCCCCAGCGCTGCGATTCCACCCGCCCGCGGAGGCGCCGATGGCTTTAGCCACCAGACAGCGCTTGTCTGAAGCCCCGAGCGGGTTTTACTCGTACCTCAAACAACTGCTTTGAAGCTGGTTTGGGGTTTTGTGGAGGTTAAAGTCACCGTCCTGGCTGCGGGGCACACGAAGATAATTACCCCGAAAGTTGTAATGAGGTTGTAGCAAGGTGAAGAGGCAGGCTGGTTCTTCTGGGGTGGATGGGTCCGCGCAGCGAGGGGCTGGATGGACACATCAAGCGGTGGAAAGGTTTTGTGGAGAGACAGCTCCACCTCTCTCTGCAGGATTCCTGTCTCAGCCATCGCAGTCCCTGGAGTGGCAAAGCTCTGTCTCCAGATAAAACGCAGTCGCTTCTTGCCGCTTTATTTTCAGGGTTTCTTTTTTATCCTCAGGCTTGGAGGAAGGGACAAACAGTGTCAGTAATAAATGGACGGGGAGTGCCAGCAGCGTCCCTCTGGTGCTCCTCTTCCCTCTGAACCTGGGGACGTGCAGGATGCTCGGGGTTAAAACATCTGGAATTCAGTCACGCTTCTCCAAAGGCATGAAAGTCTTCCCTGCAGCCTCTACCCTACACCAGAATTTATACCAGAGTCTAGATTGGGCTGGGGTAGCAACGGCAGCATCATGCCCCAGCACTGCAAGATCCCTCGGGGAGCAGCCCCTCTGAGATGTTACAAGGGGGGGAGGATGAGGCCTCCCTCACGGCGTTGAGAATTTACGGCGCTTTTCCTGGAAATATCTCTGAGCACACATTTTGCTTCTTTCCTAGTGCAACTGGGTGTCACGGAGAGCAGACCAGGGCCCCAAGACCATCGAGCAGATCCATAAAGAAGCCAAGATTGAAGAGCAAGAAGAACAGAGGAAGGTCCAACAGCTCATGACCAAAGAGAAGAGGAGACCAGGTAAAGTAAAAGCCGAGTTTGCTGCTTTTCTCACTCATTTCGCATCCAGTGACCATAGAGGGAATTCCACATAAAAGAAGAAAGAAAGATCTGTGTTTCCCCCAAAGTGTAATGACCGAAGGGGAATTGGGGCCTGATTATGGCTGAGGCTGGAGAAGAACCAGACTTGCCGTGGATTGGCTGTGTGGATTTTTGGGGGGCAAATTCCTTGGCTAGTAATGAGCAATCACAGGCTAAACAGCACTTAGGTTTTGCGTTCATGTGAACCAGATTTGATTTTGCATCAGTCTGCCACAGATCTATTAAAACAAGTTACCAGGTAGGAGTCAGATTTGCCATCCATTCTTGCGTGCAGCAGCATCCAATTTCAAGAGAATAGCATCTAATTTTGAGAGTAACCACGTTGTCTTTAGCTGTTAAAGTTGTGAGGTGTTGACTCAGCATGAGAAAGTGTCTTGACGTTACCCTTAATTGCTCCCAGCCCTTGAGGCTGCTGCTACCTGAAGATGAATTCGGAACGACTGGGATAGAGCAGGGAAGGGAGAAAGTCGTCTCTGGGATTCTTTAATACTAAGGATTGTTAAATGAACATGCCGTAAAAACGGGGTCTAATGAAAGCACACGTAGGTTTTGTTTTAATTATTCTAAAACTGACATCAGGAGAAGGTGAGGAGCCTGTTCTGCATCTAGACTAGCCTGGCAGGGCTGAAATCTTTGCCGCAAGCACGACAAGGGTGCGTTGGCCGCTCCTTTTGCGAGCTTGCGAAGGCCTGGTGCACACAGCCATATCCAGAGCGCAAGAACACACGCTGAGAAATCTACCCAGGAAGCAGCACTACCAAAACCAGCCCTTGAAAACAGTGAGATCTTTTATATCGAGGCTAGTTTATAGTCATAAAGTCAGGCAAGCTAATAGTGTCTTCTTAGACTAAAGAAACACTCCAAAAGACAGGATTTCTGCACGGAGTTGTGCCGAGGCGTGGCAGAAATGTGCTGTCGTCTTTTCTGCCTCCCGCTGAAGTTGGAGTTGGTTGCCTGCGTTCTCCCCGGGGGCTGAGCTGAGGGTGGTTGTGTTTGTCGCCTGGCAGGTGTCCAGCGGGTCGATGAAGGCGGTTGGAACACTGTGCAGGGGGCAAAGAACAGCAGAGTGCTGGACCCCACCAAGTTCCTTAAAATCACCAAGGTAGGTGCCAGCACAAGGCTCGTGCTTTACCTGACTGGATGTGTCAGGAAAGAACAGCAGTTTTCGGGTCAAAACTTGGTTTGGGGACGTTTTAAATCCCTGCGGTTAATGCTGTGCAAATCCCCGGGAGTTAATACCCTGCCCCAAGGCACAAAGGAAGACTCTGATGTCTTCTGAGCATTCCTGTGTTGTTTGTTCCGAGGGAAAGGCGGGCACATTCTCAGGTTCACAGCTTCGTTCTAGTGACCCAGAAGTTCTCTTAGTTGGAAAAAAATCTGCATTTTATTAAATGATGAGAAGAGAGTGTGAGTCGGGGTGGTGTGCGATGGTGGCGCAGCACGTGGCACGGCTGTTGCAGAAGGGATCTCAGCCACTGCTCTGCTGGAAATCCTTTTCTCAAGCTCTCAAGGCCCTGTTCTGACAGTGCTACTTAGTGGAATGAGGATGCCACCCTCTGAAAATGAAACGTTCCTGACGTGTCACGGGTGGCAGCCCTCCAGGCTGGAAAGGTTCAAGTGATACGCGAAGAGCCTGGTCTGCTTTTACAGCGATCCCGGTCTTCTCTGTGGTGCAGTTGCATCCCTCAGTATGTGATAAACTTTCACACTCATCTTCCAGATGAGCATCTTCCTCTGATTTTACTACTAAAGTGATGGTTTGGGGACGTTTATCTCGGGCTGCAGGTTTGGCAAGCTTGGAAATTTCTCCTTTTTTAATGGTCTTCAGAACAGCTTTGGGATTTCTCACCCAGAACTCTGTCTTTCACATAAATCGGGGCGATTCCTAGACGTTCCCTTGTACCAATTAATGTCACTCTCCCTGAATTTTACTCAGTACCCGGATGTTTGGAAAGCTGTAAAGCAGAACCTGGTCAGACTGTAGCACCTCTGCAGATCAAACTCATTTTGTTCCCTGTGAAAGTCATAAAACAGACTCCAAAACTTAATTAGCAGGAGAGATCCAGCCTGCTTTTGTTTGGCTTTACTGCTCTTCTGGGAAAAGTCCTTCCACTCTGTTCAGTACAAATAAGAGTACAAACAGGGCTAGTTCCACAATAGCCGCATTGTTGCACGGAGAGAGGAGCTCGCACAAAGCGATCTGCGGGGTCACAACCTCCTCGTTGATAAATTCACCTGCTGAGCACTGTAAAATCAATGGTCTCTTCTTGCCAGACACAACTTTTTCCCCGCCAAGTTCTGCAACCTCCTGTCGTTCGTTGCCCTCTGAATCGCGTTTATTACCCTGCGGATTGCCCCCAAAGCCACGACGGGTAGGCGGAGCGGACGGCAGAACCATTTTACTTGTCACAGACAAACTTAACAGCTTTCAAGTACTTACCTGTGCTTTTTCCTCCTTCCCGAGCTTCAGAGTTTCCAATCAAAAGAAGCTCCTGGTCATGGTGAACGTGTTTCCCTGACCCTTCGGAAGAGGCAGCTCATGCTGCATCCTCCTTGTCTGGCTCTGTCTTCCACCAATGTGTTAAAACACATTTTGGTGTTCACGAGAGAGGGATTGTTGCCAAAAAATACCTCATTTATAATTAAGGTATAGATTTGCCCTTGTAATGGTATCTCTTGATGTGTTTTACAGCCCACAATAGATGAGAAGATTCAGCTTGTGCCTAAAGCCCAGTTGGGCAGCTGGGGAAAGGGCAGCAGTGGGGGAGCAAAGGCGAGCGAGATGGGTAAGTCGGGGCTTGGCCACCAGCCGAGAGCGGCTTTGGGTGGGTTAAAGCGGGGCAGGACCAGCCCTTTCCCTTCCGTTCTCTCCCCATCACTTCAAAACCAACTATTAAATGATTTTGTGATGCCAAGATGTCAGCAGCTACTGACCTTGCTGTCGCTCTTCTCTGTCTGTCCAACTTCCTAGACACCTTACGACCAAGTGCCACTAATTTGAACAGATTTTCTGCACTGCAGCCTCCAGTCCCATCTGTATCTGCCTCATCCGCATCTTCAGAATTAGATTCTCGCAGGGCCTTAACTAGGTAAGCTGCGGTTCCCCCTCCGCTGTCTGTACACCTGCGCTTCTCACTTGCTGCTCCTAGTTACCAGCACACAGAAAGAAGAGAATTTCACTGAGTTTCCAGGAAAGGCTGTGTCTTTCTCCCCGCACTGTGTGCTTTGAGCCCACTCAAAACACATGCATCTTTTATAATTTTATAGGAGAGACAGAGAGTATTAATTTTTAAAGCCATTACAGTGAACGTTTTACGTTTCCATGGTTTAGTCACCCTTTATCTAAAGGATACACTTGCTGGTAGTTTATAACAGGTTAAAAACTCTTCAGGTGAAGTGTTGTAATACACAGGTGTGGAGGTTGGATTCAACAGTCGTGGCTTCAGCCGGGTCAGTAGGTTTATTTATGCCTAAAACCTTGGAGAAATTTAGCAGAGCTCTTAAAGCACTCTGGCTGTGCCTGACCCTTCCCGTTCGGTGTGACCGAGCCCGCCTGTGCTCTCGTGTCACGCGATGCGTGCGTAACCCTGGGCAGTGCTCAAACTCCCATTTCGTCAGGGCTGCAGCCGCTCCAGCTCGTAGCATGAAACATGAATTAACCCTCAATAATTTATTGACTCTAGACATGGTTTATAAATGTACGGTTCATTTAAAATGTCACTGGTTCTTCATTCCAGTACGCATGAGCTGCCGGGCTGTTTTCTTGGGTTTGTCCCTGATGTTTTTCCCTCCTATTTCACCTGAAACTCTGGCTTACCTGGGAATTATTCCATTTTTGGTATCGTTTTGCCCATCTTACTCACTAACACAGCCAGTAATAGGGCAGATCCTTGTCACCTATTGGTTGTAGCCCTCAGTATTGGGAAGCTATTTTTCAGTAAAATACACCGCTCATGCTATTTTACAGTAAGCCAGTGCCTTTACATTATAAAAATCCACCGTTCTGCTGTAAGAATTTTATTGCTTTTCCATATGCTCTCTGGGAAGTGTTGGTTCTGCCTGTCCGCTCTGTGGATATTTGTGTTTGGGCATCTCTGAGACTTGAGTTCATTTTGATTATATTCCGTACAGCTACAACTGTGAAAAAAAAAAAAAAAAGAAAAAAAAAATCGAGACAACAATCCTGCTGGGTTTGGGTTGTGGGGTTTTCTTACTGCAAAGCTACCCAGTATCTTTTGTAACATTACCAGCGCTACGAGCAGGGCTTGCTCGTACCGTAACCATGACGCACGTGTGGTTTTGTTCCGCAGTCGCGGGAGCACGGGCAGGGAGAAGAACGACAAACCTCTCCCGCCTTCCCTCTCCCGTCCCAACACCTTCCTGCGGGGCAGCAGCAGTAAAGAGCTGCTGCTCGACAATCAGGCGCAAGAGGAGCAGCGAAGGGAGATGCTGGAGACGGTGAAGCAGTTGACAGGCGGCATGGAGATGGACAGAAACAGCACAGAGGCGGAGAGGAACAAAGCCAAGGAACCCGGTGAGCCGCTTTTCCGCGCTCAGGGAATCTCGCGGAATGCGAGAAAAGTCAAAAGAGGAAAAAAATAAATGAGAAAAAATGACAGATTTGTGTGCAGCAGTGTGAGTTTTCGGCTCACAGTGACAAGTCATTGAGCTGTGACAGCTGTGATCTGCCTCCCAAAGGTTCGTGACACAAGGGATTCGTACGGGCCGTGGCGTTGGCTCCTCTCACCTCCTCTCCTCCTTAGGGTTCGGAGTCGAAAAGCTGCGGGTGCTGGCAGAGCTCTGCTCTGTGGCCTTGTCCTGCCCGCTCATATCCTATTGCTGCTAGTTTCTGGGCTCCACGTCCCCAAAGCCAGTGTCAGTTGTGCAGAAACACTTTTTCAGCCCCAAAAAAGGCCGTAGCTACCCTTTGCACACATTTCCCGGGGGACAAACCACGCACGGCATCTTTTTATCAGGGCGCTGTTGCCAGCCCTCCTTCCGAGCAGGTCTGGGCGCAGCGGGGCGTTAGTGCCCGCTGGGGTGGCTTGTGTCACCCCGACAGTCCTCCAGCTCCTGCTTTTAGCTCCAGCCAGCGGAGCTGACGTGCTAGTGAGAAAATACGTAGGGCGACGTTCCCTATAGATAGAACCTTTGCGATAAGCACGGTGGTTTGCTCTTTTGCCAGGAAACATCTAGAAGCTGCCACTGAGAGGAGTCCCTCTCGACTCCCACGACACGGCACGTGGTCATCGTAAAGCTTTGGGACCCCATAAAGGATTTTGTGGGGACGGAGATTTTGGGGATGTGGTCAGGAGGTTGCTTCGGGTTGCTGCCCGTTGCAGTCGGCGTGTTTCAAAGTTTGATTATTTGATATTGATAGAGAGCTTTGGAGGTCTCACACTCTGTGTTGCTGCCAACTGTGTTTCCAGGAAAAGGCTGATTTACAGAAATATCAGATGTTCATGCAGGGGGAAGTGTAACCGAGATAAGGGGCCCGTGTCTGACGACGCGACAGGGCACACGCCCTGCTCTGGTGACTTGTTTTCAGAATGCCGTCTCTGAAAATGATGCTGATGCTCCTTTTCCAAAACGTGTTGGTTTTTTCTTACATTTCTACCAGCCAAGCCAGAAGCTCCTCCAGCTCCGGTGCAAGAAAAGCCTTCGCTATCAGAAGAGGAAATCGAGAGAAAATGCAAATCTATCATTGATGAGTTCTTGCATATTAATGATTTTAAGGTAAGCAAAATGGAAACCTCACTTAAATGCCACAGACCTTTCTGCTACGTTCAGCAGAACTCGTCAGGAGCAGCGGTTTTGGAAGCACTCAGCTCGCACGAGGTGACAAACGGTGGAGCCTGTCAAAGTTTGCGCAGCAGCACCAGCTCCATGAGCGTTTTTTTGGACAGTCGTCTCCCAAACTTGTTTTCTGCCCTGCTTAGTACTGGGAGAAACGGCCCAGCTTGTGTGTTTTAAGCAGCAAGATGTACGTGTGTCTGTCATGAATCACTGAGCAGCTCCGTAATAACAGCAATTTTGGAAACAGAACAGCTAGTGGGAAAATAAACTGAGGCTTTTTTATTCGGTTATCAAAGCACGTGCTCTTCTGATGTGGAGGCAGATAAAGCAATAATAAATATTGAACAAACTACTCCAGAGTATTTTTAATAAACACTGGAAATTACGAGCAGCTGTCAACACTTCCTAGTTAAAGGTTGACATTTTGTTGCCCTTGTAAATGGATTTTTAGCTCGTCCAGGGAGTTTGTAAGACATGTTACGCTTGCTGCAAAGCTGATCGGTTTGATCTGCTGCTGAAATAAATTTTAAGAACCTGCCAAGTTTGAAATGGCAGCACTGGTTTGGCACCCTACGAGCAGAGTTGCTGCTCATGCTTCCTCGGGCTTCCAGTTAAAATTGGCAAGAGGGATATTAGGATGGCTTGGTTTGGGTTCTCAGCTGGTTATCAGGAGAAGTTGTTAGATCCTGGTTTGGGGATGAAAGGAACCCTGAGCTTTGATTCGTGGTGTCCCCCGGCTTGCTGGCCTGGCCGAGGGGACGGTGGAGCTGCTGAACGGATCTCCGGTCCTTTTGCTTCTTGCAACAGACTGCAAAGCCTAACGCCCAGATATCTGGGACTAAGGGCGGCTTCAGTTTCTCTGCTTGTGAACACACTGACATCCTTTTATGGCTGGGTGGAAATAGAGTTGCATTTTATTAGACAAGTGCACCTCTGCTTAGAAGTCCATCAGGTTGAGGCAGCACCCCTGCATTAGGGGGCCACGCGGTAATTGCAGTTTCTGAGTGCTCTTCCAACACGGTGTGCAGCAAAGCTTCTCCCTAATTCAGCTTCATAATTCAGCATTAATAAGGCTGTGTTAACGTAGCATGTAGCAGAGGAATCGCTGTTTAGTCTTTGGTATTTAACCTGACCGTAAATCAGAACTGCTGAGCGGTGTGCTGGTGTCTGGTGACAGCAGGGTCGCTCCCTGTCCCAGAGACTCTGGGATGCGCTGGGCACGGCTGACGGCAGAGCTCTGACCCAAGCCTGCGGGCTGGGACCCACCAAAATCCGTCTGGGGCTGCCAGTTCTCGGAAACTGAAGGCATAACCTGAGACAAAATGCAGATGTTTTCAAGCAGGAAGCCCAGTGAGATCGGCCGGGCTGAACCTGCCTGAAGGTCAGCGGGAGATCGTTGCTGATGACAGGGGAGGTTTCTGAAGTGTGACATTGAGCGCTTCTCTGGAAGTCTCTGTGTGAGAGGGTTTTACTTGTTGAGGTTACAAAATGCACAGGCCAGAAAGTAGATGCTTTAGGAAGGGGACGTTTTCCTCCAAATGCTCCCCACCTGCTTTATGCCTCTTCATATGACGTGGGTTTGTAACACAGGCAGTTCTCTGCCAGATGAGATCAGCGATGAATTCACCCCGATGTCCTCTTTTTAACTTGCCTTGATATTTGGTGAACTAAGAGGTGTTGTGCTGGCATCCAGAAGACAATTCCTGTCCTTTTGCTGACTGGTCCACCTGTCGCCTGGAGCCTGATGGTGTATTTTAAAGAATTGTTGCCTGCATAGTATAAATATTATTATTACTAGTAGTATTCTACGATTTCTATCTCAGTGGTGATTTGTGGTGAGGTCCCATAGCCTAGCTCAGCACCTTTGTCTGGCAGCTTCGCTAAATACTCAGTTCCAAAAAAAAACCAAACTCCAAACCCCAAAACGAGCAGTCTGTTGATTCACCTTCAAAAAAATCCCCGTCCTGTGTACCAGGTGCTACAACGTGTGCTCAAAAAAACATCTTGCAGTAGAAAATGACCCCATTTTTTGATGTTCTCGCTCATCGCCTGTGTCTCTGGAACAGGAGGCGATGCAGTGCGTGGAGGAGCTGAGCACCCAGAACCTGCTGCCTGTTTTTGTGCGAGTGGGAGTGGAGTCGACGCTCGAGAGGAGTCAGATCACCAGGGATCACATGGGCCAGTTATTACATCAGTTGGTGCAGTCGGGAAAGCTGAGCAAGCAGGATTTCTTCAAGGGGTTTGTATTCTTTTCTTGAGGAGATGCTTTTCCGCGTCGGTGAGAAGTGATTTCTTGCTTTGGTATCCTGCCTTCTCCACGCGTCCCATTTTCACCTGGCTGTATTTATAAGTAATAGAATTATTGTAATATATTTTTAAGTATTTCAGAAGCTTGAGTGTAAATGCTTTCCTATTTATAGAAGTATTTCTAAGCGAGTATGTAGGTGTCTCTTTAAATGTGCGTGTTTAATTTCTGTTTTTGTGGTGCATTTATCAGTGTTTACCTTTTGGGAAATCACTGAATATGATTAAAAGAGGAAGAAATCAAAAATCTTCACGTGATGGCCTGGAGGTCGTGTAGCCTGAAGTCGTGGGCATCCACAGCACCGCAGGCACTTCCCCTCTGGTGAAAGAGGCTTCACCCATATGATTCCATTTCCCAGGACAGCTCAGCTCTGAGGAGCAGACGTGTCCTCAAGGGGCTGAGAAGGAGAATACACGGGGTTCAAACCCGGATGGAACAGTGGTGAAAAAAAAAAAAAATATATATATATATACCTGCAGGGATTACACTTGTCTGTGTCCACACAGCCGCTGATGGCCCAAACGACTTGTCGAAGTGGCGCATTTCCGTAACGGGTTGTGATTGCAGCCGTTGCTGGAGTGTGGCCGAGTGGTCGTGATGCCAAATAAGAGGGATCTTGAGGAAGGAGTGGGACGTGCGGTCTGAACGTGGCATAAACAAAGTGAATGGCTCCTGGAGGGGAGGAAAAGGCAAGTGGTGT